GTCCACTGATTTTTCGCTGCGGGAACCTCGGGTCCACTGATGATCAGCGGTGGACCTGAGGTTCCCGCAGCGAAAAATGTTTCGCGCTGCGAAACGCGAAAAATTCGCTTTCTGTCCTAGTGAACCACACCCAGAAGACCGCTAGAACTATGTTTAATGAAAAGGGTGAATTCCGGAGAAAATGACCTCAAATACCCTCTTCTCCTCTGAGCTTGGTCTTAAATTGTCATCGTCGTCTTAACTTCACTCCGGGGGTAATTCGATGCCCCGATTACGTATATGACATTCATTTTCGACACTGACGCCATTTGGCGCCATTGGCGCCACTTTGTCACGATAGCATTTTCACCAAATTCGGTGCAAACTTGTATGTAGGGGTATTTGGCGTCCTGATTACGAGTACGACATTAGTTGTTGACGCGTATTTTCTGCTCATCGGGGTCGGGTGAGGTTCGCTGGGACAAAAAAGACTTTTTTGCTTTTCGCACGCAAACTTCTCGCTCCGAGGACACCCGGTCCACTAATGATCAGCGGTGGACCTGAGGTTCTCGCAGCGAAAACAGTTTCGCGCGCGAAAAACGGAAAAGTCGCTTTCTGTCCTAGCAAACCACACCCGGGGTCTCTCATTTAGTGCCTAAGGCCAGCTCGTTGTGGAGGGGTACCAACTACATACCTCTGAACCCTCCTTTCCCCAAAGGCTTGTTCCTTATCACGTTATAGTCAGTGAGAGGGCGCAGACGCAGTGGAAATAGACGCCAAATGGCGCCAGCGTCAAAAATGAATGCGTATTCGTAATCGAGACACTCCTTGTGCAATCTCTGGTTACATATCCCCTCCTTACTTATCCATCACTTAACAACGGAAAATATCCAGGACCAGGCGTTCCTTCGGGTCAGTTTTGCGTTTTCCGAAACCTGACATCAGCGACATCAACATTTTGAGTCTCGAAAACACTTTCGGTTCAGTTGGGCTTTTTTTGCATTGGTGAAATTGAAAAAGTCAAAAACTGATAAAATGGATTCCTACGAGACTGAGGAATTTGCAACCCATGAAAATACGAAGTTATTACGTTCGGGGGTGCTATACAAGTAGGGTGGGCACGCCGCATTTTTTGAACAGAAATGTATGTAAGTGGGACTGCTGCTCGCTACTATACTGTCACGAGAATTGGGGAGTTTCGTGAGCCAGGGGGAGTGTAGCCAATCTAGGGGGGTGGGGGGTGAGGGCAGTCACTTGACATGCGTGAAAAGCTGGGTGTGCCCCACCCCACTTGATATAGCACCAACAAACGCGAACAGAACATTAGGAGGTGAGGGGGAGGGTATTGGATGTGATTCACTGCGACTTCTTCAAAGCGACTTTTTCGCGTTTTGCACAGCGAAACAATTTCTGCGCTGCGGGAACCTCGGGTCCCCTGATGATCAGCGGTAGTCTTGAGGATTCCGCAGCAAATATGATTCGCGCTGCGAAACGCGAAAAAGTCGCTTTTTTCCTAGCGAAACCCACTGATGCATCGTCAGGCAGCATACACCCAGCAAAGATGACCTATTCTACAGCAGCAGGAAGACTCGGTGTGTTTGCTTGTGTGAGAATGCAACTAACTGTGGGGGAGTTTCCTAACGAAATCGCTCTATCAAGGGCTTCGTTATGGCGTGGGTACTTCCCGTCACGATGCTCTTTCACGCATTATATTCAAAAAGTATTTATTGAAAATCAAATCGAGGGCGCCCCTTGGTAACTAGAACTTCATAGAAATAAAACAAAACTTGATGAGAGTAGTGTGATACCTACGCTCAAAATACTGTGAAATCAGATGGAAAACCGTAAACGTGGATTTACACTTCGAGATGCGGTTTACTAGGCCAAAAAGTGACTTTCCGCTTTTCGCACCGCGAAGCTTTTTTCGCTGCGGGATCACCAGGTCCACCAATGATGAGGGGTCGACGAACTTTTACTTTGAACTCGGTCGACGGACTACTTGAACTCGGCCCTTTAAGCTGCCTCACTCGACGCTTTCGTCTGCGCTCTCTCATCTTATCAGCGGCTGATCACCACTGCGATCTCACACATTCAAACTTTTGCCACAATGCAACTGGCTCACCCACCTCGGATTCCCTCCCCCTTACAAGGCTTAGTCCTAAGGCTCTCACCTCCCTCCTTGGGATTTGGAGCCGAGCCAGGCGCCATTCTCTGATCGTCTGTGCTCTCCGCCATTCGTGGCAGGACCATGGACGAAAGTGCAAGTAGTCCGTAAACCCGCTTCAACTTTGTTTCCTAGACTTTCGCTTTTATGGCCTTCAGCAAACGCTGAGAGTTACTTATCTTGATGCAGCATGACAATGCCCCCCACCCTTTTGAGGATACACTGCTCCTGTTTCGGTTATCCCGATAGCTTGCTAATTGCTTTCAGCAGTGACAGATAAATACGCGCCTGCCGTCGACAACCGCGATTTCCCTTTAGATCTTCGATTTCGGCGGAAGGTGAACGTGAAAACGTGTTACTCGATCACGTACACTGCGACAACAACGATCAGTTCTCTCACGGTAATGGGGCGCCAGTTGTTTCGCCTTTTAATCTATAACCTCCATCGTGCAGTTTCGGCACAACATGCAGGTGCCGCGTCATGGAGAAATGTGCGAACCATGAGTGATGTGATATTATATTAAGACATTTCCAGTATCTCCTAATATGGTGTTGTTCACAGTTCATTATGCAGGAATTAAGCGGCGCTTCGATTAGGCGAGCAGGCGATCGGGCACGTTCAGTCTCACTCGCCTAATCGTCTAATCGATACGCAGCGATTGAGCAAGTAAGACTGCATACATATCGACTGATTCGCACTGCCTGTTCAGCAATCGCCCAATCGCCTTCTCGCCTGTCGTGAACTCTGAACAGTTGTTCAAGAAATAGTAGAAGCAAAGAGGAAGAGATCTGATCCATATCCGACACCGCCCAACTGGATATTTATGAGATCGATCAATACGTACCCAATTCCATTTGTGGATTCACCGATTGCCCATTTAATCCGTATACGTTTTTCATTATAGAATTGCTTGATTTTTGAAGGTTGCAAAGAAGGAACTCTTCGGTAGCTACATATGTATCACCTTGAGCAACCAACGCCGAAAACATCTGATGAAGCCTTCAAGCAACGATCCTTTCTTCGGGTCTCATCCAGTAAGGGGGGGGGGCATTGTGATGCAACGTCAAGTGGCTGCCCTCACCCCCCACCCCCTAGACTGCCTTCACTCCCCCTGGCTCACGGGGTCCCGTACTTCGAGAAACCTGTGCGCCAGGGGGAGTGTAGGCAGTCTAGGGGGTGGGGGGTGAGGGCAGCCACTTGATGCCCCCTTACTGGATGAGACCCTTTCTTTCAAGGAGGGCATGTAAGGCGGCCGCGGCTGTGCGGGACCAGCTCGGTCACCAGCATTTATTACTGGGCTCGTGCTAACAAGAAATGGGACTGCAATCGCATATGGACGAAACTTGGGTTCTGGGGGCCACGCGATGGCGCGGGGTTTACGGTCTACTTGAGAGCACAGACGAATAAAGGACCTAGGACTAAGCATTGGAGAGGATGGAGGGACCCGCGAGAGAGCGCAGAGGAGGTTTAAAGGGCTGAGTTCAAGTAGTCCGTCGACCTGTTTTCTGCTCCTCCAAGGCTTAGCCACAGGGACACTTACTCTTTCGCCATCACGTGGCAATTTCAAAATACGCGTCATTCGGTGACTAACTGCACCCCCCCCAAACCCGAGTTTCGCCCACATATGCCCAATACAAACAAGTAATACGATATTTAGACGATTTAGGAATTCATATCAACCAAAAAACCGGTCCAACGCCCTACAGTTTACACGCAATCGAGAGAGGACCACTCTCACAATTGCACAGGACCCGCACAGCGAACCAGTCCACGATTAGCAAGTTGTGGACCCGAGGAAAAGGCGGAGCTGACGAGTTGGCACTTATGTCCCTTACAGAAGCTTTCCAAGGTGAGGTTTTTCCCCAGCGACCGTGCATGTTTGACAAGGCCTCAAGCGCTGCCATTTATTCTTCATTTTGCCATTTGGAACTTATCAAATAGCGTCAATACATCTCCAAAATGTTCCTCTACTTGACGGAACAAAAAAAATCACGAAAGTAGACCAGCAAATCTCACTGAATAATCCAAAAGCGCTGAACATCTGTATCTTGAAGACACCATGCCAATTTTTCTTCGTGCAATTTCAAAAAATAACAAAAAAGAAAAAAAAAAAAAAAAAAAAAAAAAAAAAAAAAAAAAAAAAAAAAAAAAAAAAAAAAAAAAAAAAAAAAAAAAAAAAAAAAAAAAAAAAAAAAAAAAAAAAAAAAAAAAAAAAAAAAAAAAAAAAAAAAAAAAAAAAAAAAAAAAAAAAAAAAAAAAAAAAAAAAAAAAAAAAAAAAAAAAAAAAAAAAAAAAAAAAAAAAAAAAAAAAAAAAAAAAAAAAAAAAAAAAAAAAAAAAAAAAAAAAAAAAAAAAAAAAAAAAAAAAAAAAAAAAAAAAAAAAAAAAAAAAAAAAAAAAAAAAAAAAAAAAAAAAAAAAAAAAAAAAAAAAAAAAAAAAAAAAAAAAAAAAAAAAAAAAAAAAAAAAAAAAAAAAAAAAAAAAAAAAAAAAAAAAAAAAAAAAAAAAAAAAAAAAAAAAAAAAAAAAAAAAAAAAAAAAAAAAAAAAAAAAAAAAAAAAAAAAAAAAAAAAAAAAAAAAAAAAAAAAAAAAAAAAAAAAAAAAAAAAAAAAAAAAAAAAAAAAAAAAAAAAAAAAACAAAAAAAAAAAAAAAAAAAAAAAAAAAAAAAAAAAAAACACCAAAACAACAAACACCAAAACAACAACAAAAAAAAACACAAAAAAACAACAAACAAACAAAAAAAAAACAAAAAAAACAAAAAACAAAATGTAATTCACACTATAAATATTTCCTAAAGAATGAATTTTAATTGAATGGAAACCAATATACAAATAGTATAACTGCAAATTTGCGCTACTGCAGTCGCTCCAATCGACGCTTCCGAGTTCTGTTCGTTTGATGAGCGCGAAGGTAGTCATGTAAGCGATTTCGACACTTCACACTTTCTTCGTACAATTTCTTTTCGAGGTTATCTATTTTCTTAGGTGCTTCATTTCCACGATACATCCTGAGTACAATACCTGTAAAAGCACATATACTGTACACTACAATGTGATAAGGAAAATAGCACGATATGTAAATTAATAACAAGTTTTCAAACAGTGGCAATACTTTCAACAAATTGTGTGGTAAAGATTGCAATTGGATATTCAGATTTGATGGCCCACAGACAGAAAGATATCGCTGTATTTTCGTAGGTAGAATTTTATTCTTCCCAACTCAAGGGAGAAGACTTTTCCTTTAACAAGCTACATTAATGCCGATTCGTTTAGTACGAAGAAGCGCAACGTTCGGATTTCTGGGGCAGCGACCACGTTAATCTGATTTGATTTCGTGGATGACGGCGCGGACGCCAAAGAATTGGAGACATCAAAAAAGCAGTATCGAGCGCACCCACAACTGAAGACTTTGAGAGGACATGGTAATGGCATAGCTATCGTGCTGGCCTTTTATCAAGTTTAGCACTCAGCATGTCTCCAACGCTTCTCGCCGTAGCGTAGCTTGGCTTTGTGCTTCGGGATGGGCAAGCACAACGAGCCTCGTATTTTTGGTTTCTGGTGTGCTTCAAAGCAGTAGCCGCGGAAGTCGTGTCAGAGAATCATTCTGTGGATGGAACAGAGAAGCCCCAGCCCATGAGCACCACAAATGTGCGTTGTCGCGTCACGAAAGTGCGCGACAATGGCGCTAGGGCCAAAGTGAGCTTATGGCGAACAATTTATGGACGCATACCCTATAATATGCAGCGTGGATTACGGCATAGGCATACTTCAAAACGCGCAGGCTAAGTTCTGCGAACTTGATTGCTCCATGGGGTGGGCCCATGGAGCAATCAAGTTCGCAGAACTCGTTCAGCCTCGCCCCCTTCTTCTCAATGAGAGAGAATACCTGCCATGGCTTCATCGATTGTTTTCCGTGCTTCTTTTTTTCATTTTCTGTTCTCGCATCCGCAACTTCATTATGAGACGCTGTGACCCCACCAATTTGATCGGGGGTGTTGTCTTAACGCACTGCGGACCGCCGTTATGTGTATATCCCTTTTGGTATTTGTCATGTGTTGGGTCACTAACCAAAATTTAGCAGAATTTTATCACTGTTCTGAAATGCGATAATATCTGCGCTCGGAAATGCTCATTAGTGAAGCTGTACTTGGAAAAATGACAGCTAAATCGGAGATAACTATCCATTTCCGTGTGGTGGTGTGCTGCACATGGTGCAGCACACCACCACACGGAAATGGATAGATGGATCAAGTGGAGAAACCCACTCCCCTCTAAGGTCAAGAAAGAATATGGTGAGACGATTCATACTGCAGTAGAGCATGATGGATGGCAAATTTGACGCGTTTCAGAGCGCCTGACCTCCCGTCCAAGTAATGGTTTATGTTGCGGGTGACTGAGAGACTTCGGGTTATGTTGGACCCTTTAATGTCACCTTGCGGTGGTTCAGTGGATTTGATGTGAATGAGGAGAACTACAGTCGATATCCGAAAGTTGGGGTGGGCGTGTCACCGGAAGTGACGTGCACTTGATAGAAGTTGCGTGGATAAGCTGTTGCCAGCATGCTTTGCTGATATCCAGCGATGTATGTTGGAAGCAGCTTATCCACATAGCTTCTATCAAGTGCACGTCACTTCCGGTGACACGCCCACCCCAACTTTCGGATATCGACTGTATGTACAGAGAGAAGAATTGAACGCCTTTATTGTATGGCTGCAAGAGAAGGTATATATGATTGTAGCATCTGTTTCTGCTTGTACAGTATGGGCACGCCCCGCCAGACGTGAGGTCGTGAGGGAATCATCGCCAGCTATGCGCAGGCGATGATAGTTCAAGTCAAATGATGTATAAGTGCTACTGCGATTCAAGGAGGCTCTCGAATGAATGGTGCATCCCGAGAATAAGTGTTCTTTATCGCAAACAAGTTCATTTGGTTATTTCAAAATACTACTCACCTCCGTGAGTGTTGGAATCAAACGCCTTCAACAGACACTCTGCCTAAGGCAAGACTGGCACCTTCGCTAACTGAATGACAAAAATGCATTCCCATTTCGTAGTAATATGGTTGAAGGGCTTCGAGATCAGCATGAGCAGCATTAGCCAGCAAAATATTCCGCACATTTGTATTATAGGCCATTGGGAGGGTGAACTGAAAAATACCAACATAATGGTGTGTAGGATTGCACTGCATATACAACCTGTGTGGGATCATGGAAAAATCGATTTTGTTACGATTAAAGAGACTCTGACGAAAATTTCAACAAAAGAACTTCGAGAAATAGAGAATGCGAAATGATCAACAACGAAATCAATTTGCAACGGAAATCAAGTCCGAGTAATCCTATACAGCCAGAGTAAATGTGATTATAGCCACCGCTTTCAAGATCATCAAGTCCCACCTTGTATTGGGTCATTCGTTATAGAGTTCACCAGGATACAAAAATGAGATTTTTCAGCCACAGTCAATCTTTTTTTGTAATAGGGAGTACCTAACATATGACCAGACGCTCCAACGTTATTGGACAGCACCAGTGAGACTCTTCTCGTATAAAACTTCGAATTAGCTTGTTTGAAGTGATTCACGCACTAAGGATATTGGTAAACGCGAAATCTGGAATATAGGTGCAGCAGGATTTTTAATGAAAGTTCTTTTGAGACCCTGATTTCTTAGGATTCACCTCGACGAAAAGTAACTAGATGCAACGGAGACCTTTACAACCGAGCTCCAAGCTAAACTCAATAGAATAAGATATCGCGCCGTTAATGCGACAACCAACACCTCTGAAATCCAACAGGTCGGGCAAATAGACAAACCGTCAGCATGCCCTGCAAAACTTAGGAGCTACCTCATCTAAAACTTCTCATGCGATCCACTTGAAAAAACCTGACACGAATAAGAATGCCTACCCCTCCCCTCCACAGCGGTGGCTCCACCACTGCAAAGGCCTGATGACACTTTTTCATGAGCTCATCATTTACTTCTTCGCATAATGATGAAAAAGGAAAGAGGAAGACTGGAATATTGAATATATCTCACCGAACAAAATGGTTCCAGTGCCCGAGCAAACCAAAAAGGTGTCAAAACTTTGTATCCTTTCTCATCTGTGTAGTGAGGCGCGTTTGTGCCAAGCAACTCGTATACTTCTGAACAAAAGAAAACAATGTTAGGTGTGCATGCAAGATACAATGCAAACAATGTTGGCACATGTACAAGGCTTCACGAAATCCTCTTCCTTTCCTATGCTTTTTGCCTACTCGAAATTTACGAGATTTTAATGTTAGGTACCCTACTTCCAAGTACCGCAGCAGCAATTCCAAGACTCTGCCGCCAAAGGATTTAGCCGAACTGTATGAACGCCAGCACTTGCGATAACGCCGGAGAGAAGGAAGAATCCTACAGATTATGGTGGAACACTTTTTTTTCTATCACAGTTCCTTAAACTATCAAAGTCATTTTCTATTACCAAGGTTCAAACTTTCACTTTTTGTCACATCACAAAGTAGTAATCGTTTGTCTCAGGAGTGAGACTTACAATACGGGGAGCTACTGAAACGTCATCTTATGCTTATGGGCCGGCTCCCCCACTTTCTTCACGATTTGGGGCGCGGCCGCGGCGAGCGCGGACGAGTCGATAGTGCCCGCGAACTGTGGTGGTGATGCGTTTTCAAATTTACCCACACAGTTCGCGGGCACTATGGCCGACGCATAGTCGGTCGGACGACAGCAACGACCGCAAGTGTCGCATAAACCGCGGTTGCAAATGGAAGGCGACGCGGTCACCCAATGCTAACCCAGACAACACGTGACTGCGCGTGATCGTATTTCGAAAGTCCCACTGTAGTGTGGAATAGTAGCTGCGTATTGATCTGCGACACTTACGATCGTTGCTGTCGTCCGACAGCAGCGGTCGTAAGTGTCGCATGTGTCGCAGATCGATACGCACCCAATGCTGTGCGACACTTGCGTCGTTGCTGTCGTCCGACCGACTATGCGTCCGGCCTATCGACTCGGCCGCAAATCGTGCAGAAAGTGGGGGAGCCTTATGGGCCTAATATGTAGTTCCTGAGCGCGGCCCAAATCGTGAAGAAAGTGGGGGGGGGGGCATGACTACTATAATACATATCACATATTGAAACTTTACCACACAGAACCACCCCAGAGCCACATCCCCCTGAAGCATAGACCACAGCTCTACCTTACCTTTGGCATTCGTATTCGAAGCTGAGCCAGCCAGTGTACGCTAAACATCTATCGCGGCAGAAAACATTGGAAGAAGTCAAAGTATTCACGCAACCCTTGTCATAGGTCCCCTCGACACACTCTCTTTGCGGTAGTCTCGTCGAATGATTCAGGATCAAATAAAGAGAGTAGCCTTATCCTACCCACTCTCTCTCCCTTCCTGCCCATACTATTCACAGCCAACCTGACAG